AATGCCCCACATGCACAAGGAGTTGGATTGATGTTGTCCAAACGAGAACAAAACGCACTTATAGGATGGGAATCTCATGGACCAAGGATCATCAAAGCCTCCTTCAAAACAAAGAAAGAAGGTATTTCAATGAACATCACCCAATGCTATGCGCCTACCAACGACTACAATGAAGACGCTAAAGATCAATTCTACAATAGACTGCAGTCAATCGTCGAGAAGTGCCCAACAAAGGACCTGACCATTCCGATGAGAGATTTAAATGCCAAGGTTAGAATGGACAACACCGGATATGAAGACATCATGGGACGACACGGACTGAGATAAAGGAACTAAAATGGTGAGAGATTTGCAGACCTATGTGCCTTCAATAAGCTGGTCACAGGCGGCACCATATTGCCACATAAACGCATTCACAAAGCTACATAGACTTCACCGGATCACTCTACACAAAACCAAATCGACCATATTAGCATCAACAAAACGTTCATGAGGACTATAGAGGACGTGAGAACCAAGAGAGGAGCAGATATAGCATCAGATCATCACTTGCTGGACTCCAAGATGAAATTGAAACTCAAGAAGCACTGGACAACGGGGCGGACAATATCACAAAAGTTCAATACGGCCTTTCTTCAGGTTACTAACAAACTCAACAAATTCAAGATAGTCCTCAGCAACAAGTTCCAGGCCTTTCATGATCTACTCAATGGAGAAAGAACTACTGTGGAGAGCAACTGAAAGGGGATCAAAGAAGCAATCACTTCGACATGTCATGAGGTCCTGGGTCACAAGAAGCACCACCACAAGGAATGGATCACTGTTGATATACTGTATAAGATTGAAGAAAGAAGGAACAAGAAGGCAGCAATCAATACCAGTCGAACAAGAGCAGAAAAAGCCAAGGCACAAGCTGAATACACGGAAGTAAACAAACAAGTGAAGAGGAGCATCAGAACCGACAAACGTAAATATATGGAAGATCTAGCAACGACGGCGGGAAAGGCTGCAAGAGAAGGAAACATGAGACAACTGTATGACATAACAAAGAAACTCTCTGGAAATCGCCGCAAACCAGAACGACCAGTGAAAAGCAAGGAAGGCAAGGTAATCACCAACATTGAAGAGCAACAAAACAGGTGGGTAGAACACTTAAAAGAACTGTTGAATCAACCAGCTCCACTGAACCCACCCAACATCGAAGCAGCACCCACGGACCTCCCAATCGATGTTGGCTCACCAACAATTGAAGAAATCAGCATGGCCATCAGACAAATCAAGAGTGGCAAAGCAGCAGGACCGGACAACATCCCAGTAGAGGCACTAAAAGCAGACGTAGCGGCAACTGCAAGGATACTCCACATTCTCTTCAATATGATTTGGGATGAGGAACAAGTACCAACAGACTGGAAAGAAGGACTTCTGATCAAAATACCGAAGAAAGGCGATCTCAGCAAGCGTGATAACTACAGGAGCATCACCCCTCACTCAATACCGGGAAAAGTCTTCAACAGGGTATTGTTAAACAGGATAACGGACTCCGTAGACGCCCAACGTCGAAACCAACAGGCAGGATTCCGTAAGGATAGATCGTGTACAGACCAAATCGCACCTCCATGGATCACTGTGGAACAATCAATTGAATGGAATTCATCACTCTACATCAACTTCATTGACTACGAGAAAGCATTTGATAGCGTGGACAGAACAACACTATGGAAGCTACTTCGATACTACGGCGTGCCTTTGAAAATAGTCAATATCATACGGAATTCCTATGATAGATTAAACTGCAAAATTTTGCATGGGGGACAATTGACAGACTCTTTCGAGGCGAAGACCGGTGTGAGGCAACGTTCCTTACTCTCTACCTTTCTTCTTCTCCTGGTGATCGACTGGATCATAGAGACGTCAACATTTGAAGGGAAACACGGTATCCAGTGGACTTCTGGTATTCAGTTGGACGATCTAGACTTCGCAGATGATCTGGCCATTCTATCCCAAACGCAAAAACAAATGCAGGAGAAGACTAACAGTGTGGCAGCAGCCTCAGCAGCAGTAGGTCTCAATATACACAAAGGGAAAAGCAAGATTCTCCGATACAACACAGTATGCACCAATCCAGTCACAATTGACGGAGACGATTTGGATGATGTAAAAGCCTATACATGTTTGGGCAGCATCAATGATGAACATGGTGGGTAAAGCAAGAGCAGCATATTTACAACTGAAGAACATCTGGAACTCAAAACAGTTGTCAATCAACACTAAAGTTATAATTTTCAATACAAATGTCAAGATAGTTCAACTGTACGGAGCTGAAACTTGGAAAACTACCACAACCATCATCCAGAAGACACAAGTGTTTATTAACAGTTCTCTACGCAAAATACTTCGGATCCGTTGGCCGGACACTATTAGCAACAACCAACTGTGTGAAAGAACAAGCCAGATCCCATCGGAGGAAGAAATTAGGAAGAAGAGCTGGAAGTGGATAGGACACATATGGAGGAAACCACCTAACTATTATTATTATTATTATTATTATTATTATTATTATTATTCACAAACATCTTATGGGTACATAAGTGTTGTGAAGAAACCATTTCGGGTTTCTTCAGAAAATGCAATAATACACAATTTTCAATAATGTTAGCATTATACTTGCCATATTTAAGAAAAGTAATAATAAAAATAAAATAAAAAATTGAGAATAATAATAGTAGAATATTAATAATAATAAATGGGGTCTTTGTAATTGAGAAGAATATTGAATTGAGTTTAAAGAAGGAAATGGAGAAAATAAGGGAATAGAAATAAAGGAGACGTGAAATACGCAAACAGTCTAATAGGCGTGTTTATGAACACAGAGCAAGAATAAACGACTATGTGTGTATCGTTAAGTTAGTAACAAAAGTAATTAAGAAAAAATAACTTATAATTGCAGTAAGATATGACGCTAGAATAAATGTTTGTGCAGTCACATAGCTTGGAGTGATGCGATGAAAGTCTCAATTGAGTGAAAAGGAAATAAAATATCAATATGTATGAGTAGTCATATATGCATATTGAAGATAAAACGGGTCTGAGAAGTTAATGTAAATATAACACAAGTTATTGTCTTAATTACAAACTTCGTAATCTTAAGAGCAATAATTATTTAGAGGGAAAGAAGAGAGAAAAGAAGTGAACACTTAGTGAAAAGTTTTGATTCATGATAAGAATAATAATTGTGTAATGAATATCAACCTCAGAAGGAAACCAACAATTTGGAAAAATAAAATAAAAATTCTTCAATGCACTCGGATGAATACATTTAGATTTATGTAATAGTATACAGAGGGAAACCGGATATTACTATAAATATTTGTGCAATAATAATTAAGAATGATGCTATGAAAGTCAAAATTGATTTTAAAGGACAATCTGGAGTTAAATATGTTTAAAAGGATTAGAAGATACAAAAAGAATATCTAATGTGTCGGGGAACTAATAATGACATGAATAACGGTAATAATGATAAACATGAACATAAGCAGACTTCATATATTAAGATAAATAAAAAATAAAATAAAATAGACGTGGAAAGATTTAAAGGTTTTATTTTGCTTTTCAAGCAATTAAATGGATGACGGACCTTGCTTGTATAAATCATTATTGAATACATTGATATTCAATAGGTGACATAATCCACTTTCGGAAAGAAAATCGTCAAGGAGACTTTTGAACCGGGTTGTAGTTTCACTGCAACGGACGTTCACTGGCAGTCTGTTCCACATGGTTGAGTAGCGAATAAGGAAAAAATTCTGACGTAAGTTTGTGTGGGTTCTTGGAATCGCTAGAATGTTCTCCTTATTGCGTAGATTGTGGGATGATATCATAAGGTATGAAGGGGTAGATACCGAAGAGTAGGAAATACCGTTAATAAGCCGGTAGATAAAGACAAGTGTTTATTAACAGTTCTCTACGCAAAATACTTCGGATCCGTTGGCCGGACACTATTAGCAACAACCAACTGTGTGAAAGAACAAGCCAGATCCCATCGGAGGAAGAAATTAGGAAGAAGAGCTGGAAGTGGATAGGACACATATGGAGGAAACCACCTAACTATGTCACAAGGCAAACCCTCACATAGAATCTTGAAGGCCAAAGGAAAAGAGGAAGACCAACGAACACATTACGCCAAAAAATGAAGATAGACATGAGAAAAATGAAAAAGAATTGGGTAGAGTTAGAAAGGAAGGCCCAGGAGAGAGTGGGTTGGAGAATGCTGGTCGGTGACCTATGCTTTATTGGGAGTAACAGGCGTAAGTAAGTAATATATATATATATTTAGATAAATGAGTACTTGTGCACGCGATTCGGGGCAATCGGATAAGCTTCTTCCCTCATTCTCACACTTTTTGATCAGTAGCCCGTTGGAATCTCGTATATGGGGGGTTTTGTGTCGGTTTCGATATCGAATATTTCGTGCCATTTTGATAATCATTCCTCATGAAGTCACTCACTGATCTGGCGATGATGCGGAATCGATAGGTGTTAGCCAGTAGTCTCCATCAAAACTGACTATGGCGTTTCAGGTGTTTGTGGGGTTATTTATTGCAGTAAGTTATTTACCACTTCATCGATATCACAAAGCAGAGAATCATCCTCAATCGGGTGTTACTGACATACTGAGAGGACTCAAAATCCAGATTTCAATCCAAAACTTATTTCTGTATTTCCTTTATTTCATTTCCTTATCAACTAACGCACATAAAGTCGATAATTATATATGAAGGTATGCTAGTTCTCTATTTCGTTAACAACATAACACGATAAAATCAGAGAAAAATCAATAGGCTCCAAAAGTTCAGATTGTGCACAGAGTAAATTATATAAAAATATCGCAAGTATACGTAAATAGCTTAAGAAATGACTTTTTGTTACAACATCCTACAACTTATTGTTTTTTTGCTGTACTCTTAATTTTGTTTTAAAGTGCTAACCCCTAATTTTGACATGGCTACGCCACGTAACTTTTCAAAACAGTAAATAAAACTTGGATTTAGATAGGCGACAGTTATGGATATCGATAACAACAAATATTACATTGAAAGTAACATTTTGTTATTTTTTATAAATATGCATTGCTCAAAGGCGAACAGATTCCTGAAGATGACAATGCATCTTCTATAGTATCGGTTAAAATTGAAGATTTACCAGACACATTGAAAGATGATGACCTTGATCCACTTGTCTTGAGAGTCAAGGAGACGATAAAAGACTCAGAAGCAAAGGTAGCTTCAAAACTTTTAAAACTGTGGTTTAGGAAAGGTTTGATGGACTCGCTTCTGATGTTCATTCTCAAGATTCTTCTCCATCTGTTGATCAGTTTTTCCGTAATTACTTACAAAACAATGGATTTCTTGAGACTCTTAATGTCTTACAGGCAGAATGGTTTGATATTTTCTCGATTTCGATTTTTAGGTTCAAGTTCTTGCATAAAGGTTTATTGAGTAAAGAAGCTGCCCCGGTTCCTGATATTTATATACAAAACGATGAGCTAAGAAACATGATAAAAGATATAAGATCAGAAAATCTGACTTTAAAAGATTCAGTTTTGTAATTTGAAGCTTCCAAATAACAATTATTTATCCCTATATAGGAAACTAAGTGATGAGTTGAAAAAAGTAAAGAATGAACGAGATTATCACATGATCAAGCACAGACAAACGTTACAAGATAAAGAGAAGCTACACTGTGACGTAAAAAGGTATACAGTTTAGTCTCTAACCATTTTCGAGATCTTAAGCACTTCGTATAATACTTCATTATCTTTCGTGTGATAATTCTTGTCTTCTTCAAGCACTACTAGAATTTATATGATTTTCTGACCTTTAACACTTTTCATATAGAGCCTAATTCCAATGTCATGATAAACCTGAATGGCTACAAAACTCTGCTCACAAAAGATATCAAACTAATCAGTCCTGACAAGATTTTATTTACTGGTAAATTTAAAACTGTGTTTCATGGTTAACTAATAGCACAAATCTCCATATGCAACGGACCATTGTTCTCATTATTATAGTGCTGTGTTTTCCCGTACGTCATGCGTTAAAGCAGTAGTACTAAAATGTAGGGTTCATAAACCAGACCTCGACTTTTGTCTGCCATGAATTTAGGAATTTATTAAGCAGGGATAAACCATATGGCTATACAGTTCAATGCTACAGTAAAATGTAAGAAAACAATTAGGGATTTTGGGGGGCAGTTCCAACTAGGTCTGGATTGTAATGATGGTATATTCTCTACGGCGTCTTTATTTCTAATTCGAAACTCAAGCGTTCATTTCCATTTCCTAGCCTGGATTATTTCACAACTTATCCCATAGGTAAGCCATAAATCATAACTACATCTAAATAACTTGAATTTTTTGATCCAAATAGTATAAACACCACTTATAATATAAGTTTGACTTCGAGCATATTTCAAAACCATGCATATGGTAAGTGATAAACATTGCTGTGGTGCTGAATTTTATACACAAGAATTCATCAACAGCACCTCGAACTAGAATCAGAACAGATTTTTGCTATCTAATCGCCCCAGATGTTTGCTTAGTCCCTTGCTCTGTTTTCATTAAGGTAGCGCTTGACACAGATATTCGTTGGCTCAGGTTGTCGTGCCAATTTGGCACAATGAGATGAGTACCGAAAGAGACCAAAATAATATAGTAGCTATGATAATTATTAAAATTAGGGATTGCAAATATAATTCTTAAAGACAGAGTGCAAAGGTATTTTTGGAAAAAATGCTGGGACTTAGGGTCAACAATGATAAAAAGTGAATACATTTGAACCACTGAGAATGATTCTAAGTCATGTCGCCCAAAATTTTCAACTCATAACCGCAGTGACCACATGGGTCCCAGTCAAGTAGTCTGAATTTAGAAGCATATCTCTTTCCAATAGTAAGTGAATCAATAGACTGATACTATGACTTAGTTTTCCATCTTCGGTTTACTCTCAACCTAAATCCAAACCAGCAACATCTTCTGTATAGGTAGGCGATGGTTGGACATATTTAACACATGTCTTAACTACCTCAGTAAATAAACATTCACAACCTGACCATTTGTTACCATTACCTAGTACCTTGCATCTGATATCAACATTACTCACTTGATCATTCCACTAAACACAAGCAATGCTTTCAGAACAGCTGTGATCATGCATCTCCAGCCTATGAGTTCTTTCTACTTCTGTAGACCGTGCTTTACAACTAAAAAGCGGTATACGCTCTCTTTAGTTGGGTGAATGTGACCCTACCTACTCCACAAGAGAATTAAGTTCACAAGGATCAACCGATCCTTTTTAAGTTCCTTCTTAAATACTAGCTTATTATGGAAATCGCTTTTAAACCAAAAAAAGTTAAATGTAACAATCAATTCATAAAAATCTTGGTTTGTAATTGTTGTTTTAACTTTAGTGTTTTCAAAATTATTGATTAGAGTAAAAGAACATTATGCTGAATATGAGCCAATTTTAAGATTATTAAGACAAAAATATGAAACAGCAATGAAAGAAAAAACGTTACATAGAATTGAACGAGACAAAGCTATGAACCAAGTTGAAGGACTTCGACACGCTTTAACTTCATTGCAAAAATTAGGTATAACGTCTAATGATGCAAACGATATTGAAAATGTTGATCTGAATCATAAAGTAACTGAGAAAAGGTTGGAAAATACAACAAGTAGACAGAATAAAAAAGAAACTGACCAAAAGTGTAAAAAGAATTATATGAGATCAGAAAAGTTTAATATCCAAACTAAACTGGATCATAATTTGAAAAGGGTAAGATATTTATAGTTGCTTTTTGAAAAATAACTTTCGTTTGATCATAATAGTTAATAAACATACATCTATGAATTGTCTTGCAATACATAATACTCGTTTATAAAAACTGAATAATGAGATAATATTCAAATAGATTTCATGTTTTTAAGCGGTGGTCTATTACTCTACTACTCACTCCTCTATTGATTTTCTTTAACAATTTTATACGTACGGACCCAATCTAAACTCTATTTCAGTTAATTGGACGCTTTAATAACTATGTGTTGCATAACCCAGAGATTGGTCAAAATATCTATGAACATTAGTATATTGAATTAAATGTTGTAACAGAGATGAGTAAATGAATGTAATCTAGTACAGATTGAAATAATGATCAAACCGAACTCTAAAGTAGGGAAGAAACGACATGGTGCACTATATCAGTTTATTATTTATCACCAATATGAAACCTAATACATGTGTAAATTAACTCTAACTTTATATATTCCATGCCTTTTGGGTTTTCAGTGATTGTTTAACTTCAATCATTTCGAGATATCAAAAAAATAAAGTAAAATATTAAACTCAAGCAATATAGTTTTGAAAGACTAAGTAAAATATATGAATAGAAAGCATAAGTTAATAGTAAAATTAAATTTGAATCAATCGATCCCAGTAGTAAGCTTTGATAAAACTATCAGAAGACAACGTTGACTTAGTCAGCTACAAAGGGGGACCAGGCACATATATACATCAGCCCAAGTTGCCACACCTCATTACAACCACAAGATGAACACGAAATTCATAAAAGTAGTCACTTCAAAGGTAGTAATGTATAAAAAAAGATTGTGTTTATGGATATAGTACAGGTAGAAAGAATTAGTTCGTAGAAAGAAAGATATAAATGTTGGGGTGATCCAGAAAATTTCTCGCAAAAGACAAGCAAGGATCAGGAAATACTAAGAAGCATTTCATTTAATCAGCGTTTACTTTAAGTTTCAGCCAGAAACATCAAGGAAGTGAAACGTCACATGTAGAGTTTCTGATTGGCTGATTGCTATACTACTACTATGTCCAGTAGCATTCCAGAATCTCCGAGCGACCCAAGGACATTTAAAATATTATAAAAACCCTATATTTTCTGTATTACAATGAATCTTTGGAGTAAAGTACTTCTCGCATACTTTGCGCCTTCTCTTTCGTGTTCAGGTCGTTGTATAGTTCTAGCTTAGGGGTTACAGAATAACTTAAGAAACGAGTATAGCGTTCAATTTGCAGGACTTATCAATAAAGCAATTTTAATCTCACTGTTTAAGTGAAGACAAAGATTGTAAACACCTACGCCATTGCGGTCGATTCTGAGCCATGTCACCTAGAGTATCCAACCATTGGTTACGATAGTCATGTGGAACCCAACCAAGTAGTCTGCATCTACCCAGTTGACTTGAAAGAAGATGACGTATTTATATCGATACATTTTGAACAATCTGGTCAGATATATATTTGTCAAGATATTTATCAATAAAAAACTAATGGAATCCACTTCAATAAAAGATCGAAAAAAACGTAAACTGGTAATTGTAAATTAATGAGAGAAGAAACAATACATTATGAAAAATATAAAAAGTTTTCACAGCATTTTCATCTATATAATGACATGAAGAGTATCACGGTGCCTTGACTAGTATGTGTATGATCAGATGATTCATAATGTATGACACAAATACATCATCAAATTCATCCTCTGATTGCTTTATCAATATAAAACTAAAGATTTGGAAAAAAAAAACATGAAGCATAAACGCATATATACCGCTGAAGACGATATGAACTTATGTCATTTATGGTTTTCAAGCGATTTTAATTTTATTGTGTAGATTAAATCTGGGCGTCTATACCTTCCAGTAAAACTCAGTTTTTGATTGAGATCATGAACCGATTGATGTTAGACTACTTTTGGAAACCTGGAAGCACTGGACGGCCGTTTCGTTCATTTGTGGGACTCCTCAGCAGTGCGCATCCACGAACCCGCCCGCGGGATTAACATTTTAATAGTTGAATTCATGAGTCAATTTAAGCTATATCTCTATGGAAAACCTGGAATCGGTGGACGGCCGTTTTGTACTAGTATATAATTCCTCAGCAGTGCGTATCTATGATCCACGATCATCATGTGCTCACTAGTAACTGGTTTCAAGATGATTTCCTGGAGTTATGTGAATAATACATGAAAAGTAATAATTATGTGAATTTTGGACAGAGAGATAAGAGGAATTATTTAAACATGTGTTTATTCGTAAAAAACATGCTCTAGACTCAATGTTCTGATTTGCCATAGACTATTTATTTATATTCATATCTACCAGCTGATGGTGCATACAAATTAGCTGCAAATATCAAGTTTCACATAAGTTAGTTACAAATAAAGTGATTAAGAATTGTTGAAACTGACTAGTGAGTAGCCGTAACCAGAAGAGTTCAACCGTGTCTGTTGTGAGATATTAACTTACTGAAGACAATGGTGGACAGTGGCACAATTTTGTGGATTGGTTAAAGTTAGACATTAACACCATTGGATGCCAGCTCATTGATCAAGAGGTGAAGCGTTCACACACGAGACCGATAGATCCTGAGTTTGAATCTCGCGAACGGGGTCGTAGGTGTACACTGATGAGGAGTCCCGTATTAGGACGAAGTAATGCTATAACAAACCATTATTATTGTATTCTATGATCACTAAACGCACAATTCTTTTTTTGTTTTATTTCCTTAGATTGGATTTTGTGATTTATCTATTGATTATAAAGTGAATCCATTATTGGCAAAACTTACAAATCATTCATATAAATTTACACGATTAGATAGTAGAAAATTAGATATGAGTATACACGCTCATAATGCTGCCATTAGCAAGTAAACTTTATATTGAAAATAACTTTTAATTTACTTTATTACATATTGATAAACATACATTTGATGAAGCTATAATTTATGGATAACCTTTGAGGGACGTTAGACTGACCTTGAGAGTATCTACTTAATGACGCTAGTCGCTGTTGTCCAACTTTCGTCTAATGTGTTTCACTGAACCCAAGCACCTCTACATTGTATCTCCTCATTTCTGCAGCAATTTGAAAGACTCTTCCGGTCTCCCACATTGTACAAGTATTCCATGTACTTAAATAAGTGGTTGCTCTGATTGTCAGAAGGGGCGTCGGCCTCGTGACTTCCGAAGGAACTCGGCTTTCACCATGAGGTGTCATAACTCTTCTGAATGAAGACCTTATGACTCCCAGGACAGAGTTTAAATGGTTTGAATAATTTTTTCTGGTTAGCGTTTTTTAGCGAGTTAGTTTTCTAAGGGATGGTGTCGCTAACCCCATGCCCAACCCTCCTCCTTTACCTGGGCTTGGGACCGTCAGTAGCCCTCGGAGGGGCTCCACTTAATAACCAGGATCAAATGAGGATTATCAACCAGTATGAGGAAATAGAATTATGATTTACAGTTAATGTTTAGAGGTTAGAAATTACATTTAGAGTTTTCATCATGAATGGATATCAGCTATAATACCAAAACTCTATTTATCCAAATGGATGAATGAATTTCGCTTGAAAATATATGATTCGTTATCTTATACCTGATTGGTTCGTTCATAAATTCTAGTCTCATCATCCAGATCTTTTTATTGATCAATAAAGCAAAGTAGGTTCTGGATTAAATGTGTATTACTGAAATTGCACATATATGGAATCAGTATAGAGTTCACAAATCTGGATAATTTAAAAGCAATCGATAATTAGTTGGTTCATTGAACTATGTTGTAAAAGACTGAGTCCCGTGTAACTGTTAAGTTTAATCTCAATGATCAACATTAATTTATTTTACATGTTTTCAAGTAGTAAAGAAAATATGTGAAAGGAGTGAACAGAAATAGAAAATGAATTAAAAGGATTTTGTTGTAACGTGTTGACTGCAAGTTTTGATAAGCAGCGTCTTATCGATCGGTTACAGTGACACGGAAAACACGTAGTGACGACCTAGAGTCTCGATTGGTCCCGCTTCCCTGTCTAGCCCGGCCAGTTGAATCTAGAACGCAAGTCACAGCCTCTGAGATGTGAATCATTGTATTTCAGACATACTCTATTTATATACTAACCAAACAGATCACATCGTACCATAAAAATAGAAAACAACATTTGTACAATATTTAACGAATGAAATAAACAATGGCCAATAGGGAATGCCCATTTAGAGTCCAATGACATCATTAGACTAAACATGACAATGATTGGTATATTCCTCAGCATACCTAACAGATTTATGCAATCGTAGTTAAGTAAAAGACAAAGATCTTACAAGCTTCTTTTGAATCGAAAGATTATATCTGCTAACTCGAATCCTTATCACTTTCTATTTATATAAGTGATGAGATTAGTCTTGATTGTGAAACCTTCGAAGTATTTAGTAGATCATTCAATCTGCAAACCATTTTATGTAGCAAATGATCACTATATGTGGTGTGCATTACTGATATCGACAGATATAAGTAGTATGTATCATCAATCAAAGTGAAATACCTGGTGGTAGATGGTTAAGAAGATCGAAGGAAAGAAAACGAGAACAGAGAATGAGTGATATGAAAATGAAGGAACAATTAATTCTGAGAGGAATTATTAACATTTTGCAAAAGGAATAGTCAAGTTTGGGACAGTTGATTGACATTCTGTATTTTCAATTCAAATATATTAGATTGTCCCACTTGTGTTTGTGTTCACTATATATCGACTACGTGTCAAAAATTGAACCTTCGTACTGATTCCATCCTTCGACGTCCAAATTACTTGAAGAAAATGCCCACTCTTTCGTTTCTTGGTGTCAAAACTCATTTCGGTTTGCCTCATACCCTCACTTATGTTGGACGAAAACGTGATGATGATCTAATTGAAATCAATATTATTTACTGATGCTGTAACGAAAAACGTTTATTCATGTAATTATCAAAGAACCATCGAGCACTTGCTCAATGATCAAAATGTTTAGTACCAGTAATCTAATTTGAATGTTTCACATTCCATTCCATATACAATTATGGATAAGTACTACTGGAAAGTGTCTCGATATACGATCTAATATATATCTCTTCATATACGTATTACTGTGAATAAACTTCAAAAGAAAAGAAGGACCAATAACGGTGATTTGGGTATAATAACGTATATTTATTTCATTAGATTATTATCATCTGTTCAAAACGTAAAGTAATTGGATTTGGAAATAATGGAGGACGCAATTCAACATAGTGTACACAAGATCACAGATAAAGTTTTCCTTTATCCATCTTTGTTGAAATGCCTTCGTACGACCAAGGGTGAGGAGGAGCCTACTTTTCATCTCCGAATGCTCTTAAATGGGCACGAGTATACAGCCACTGGCACGGAAGTCCTACTCACTGCCTTTTCACGGTATTACTATTGTTTACGACATTGAGAGAAAAGAAGTGAATGTCCGGCGCTTTAACCGGGTTGATGAATATGGAGGATCCACCTATGGGGAGTTGGAAAACCCTGATTCCAAACCATTGATGTACGTGGGCTCCAGAATTCTGAAGGAACAAATGACGTATAAAACAATCTCTGGTCACCGGCTAACATGGAACTGTATCTCCTTACATTGCTCCACTGCCTTGTGGATCGGTCTTTTAGGTTAAACGGTCGGGGTGTAACCCCCTAAGAAAAACATCTGCTTCGATTTGGGCACCCAGGCAGTATCCCAGCCCACACATAAGTCAATGGACTTATGTGGCGCATATGTATTCGGTACCCCTTTGTACCAATATTTATATGTTCAAATAGAATAAATTCACCTTAATTCATTCTAAATAGTAAACACTCTTTGTATCTATGTACTAAAATAAAATTTTAGATTAGCTATTCATTCAAATAAATCCTGGTTATGTTCAGTTGGTGATGATAAATTATGGAAATTGTGGAAAATTCCAAAATTAGAATTATTAATGGAATATAAATTAATAACAAATGATTGGATATCATCAATTGATTTTCATCCTAAAGAAGAAATATTAGCAACAGGAAATGCTCAAGGTTCTATTCAAGTGAGTTCTTTTTTCTCAAAGTAAATGCTCAATAACTTTAATTCATTTGTATCTGTTGTTTGAATTGTTCCATGATGGACTGTAAGTGATCAATCTCTATTGGTATATGAGTATTCTGTATAGACTACTACGATAACACCTTAAGTCATAGGTTGATGAGTCCCAGATCTGGTGAAACGAGCGTCCGAGATTCCACTTTCAGTCACCATCTATATCTGTTCAATAGCCTTTATATGATAATGAACTTATTATCAGATAGTAATATATATTGACCCTCATGCTGAATAGAGTGAGTTCATAAGTTTAAGAGCACGATATCGAAGATTACTAAGTTTCAATGTTGAATAAGTAGTTAGTAGTCTGTTACATGTTTATAGAAATGCTTTTTCACAAAATCAATAGAATTATGTACTTTTCGTATTGGTTGTTTGGATCTTCTCACTGATGTTTAGGACAGCAATTGATCAGTCTCTTATTGGGATATGGGCATCATGTACGGATCATCATAATCTGTGGTTATAATGTCACCAAGATTGTAGTCAATGTGAAATGATGCATGGTACAGTAGTAACAAATAACACAGGCTAAAATTTATAGATACTTTGAATCATTTTCAGTTTAGTAATGTGGCTGAACGTTTCTATAGACGAGCGATTGTATGTTTCCTATGGGCTTTTAATTATGATGAAACATCGTTTGATTTTGTCAAGTCAGTTAGTAAAACCATGAATTTTCACCGACTGAATTGTCTGGGATATATGTTACATATTTTAAACAATAGTTCATCTCAATGTATAATCTTGACTAGTTAATAAACAGGATGATAGAAAGCTAGAAGTGGATAAAATATACTACTACACTAGTCTATAGGATAATTGACAAATCAACACAGTTAAGTTTGTTTACGTTCTCTGTCCTTATTCATTTCCCTTCGACTCTTTTGTGTATTGTTTTATACTACTTATTATTATTCAGTAAATAGTTGTATCCCTAGAAATGCCTACGCGCATACTGTGAAGTAAGTTTGTCGTGTAATTTTCTGAGATACTGATATGTAGCGATAACACTTATTGTATTTATCATTATAATTAATTTCTCTCGATCCTTGTAGCAGTTGTTCACAATTTTGTATGGTGGTTTAATCCTTGTTTAAACGCAACGATTTCTATAGTATTTGCTCTTGGTTCTGTTTTTGTTTGTCGATACACTGTTATCAACATTAGACACCACTAACAACTGTCATTTGCACAGTCGAATCCCCTATTTATTCCAGAATTATCGACGCGTCAAGCAACACAGATACTTCACAAGTTGAGGACCGCTTTGTTGCTTTGTGAACTTCGATTCTGAGCCTTTATCTCAATTATGTAATCAGACACGCTTCGAAAGTTTTAGCGGAAATTATTCTTATGTAACCAGATCCCTCGATAAATTTAAACGGAGCAACAAGAAAAATCACTTTTTCAGGATCAAATCAATTCACTATAAATTCACTACTTCTCATTAGCTGCCAGCGGTTTGAATGTACAGTTATTGATATACTTATCAATAAATGTTTTACATAATTAGTGTAGTTTGTATGAATATTAGAAACATAACCAAAAAAATTGTTATGATGTGAAGAACTGAACATAACAGTACACGGTAACGTGTCGGGGGAGGTGATGTTGTAGTTACGATGATCACCAGAGGATTATGTAAACGCAATACACAACAGGATTAGTATTTGTATATCACTAAGATTATGTATGAGATAAAGAGGTTAGAAAAAAATTAAAAACAGTTTTTTTCAGCGACTGCATCACGAGACAAGTAGTAACTTGGAAACCTGAAGGGAAGCGGAAAAGAGGAAGGTCAAAGAACACATTACGTCTGGAAATAGAAGCAGATATGAAAAAGATGAATAATAACTGAAAAGAGCTGGAAATAATTGCCCTGGACTGGGTTGGATGTAGAGTGCTGGTGGGCGGTCTATTCTCCTCCACAAGGAGTAACAGGCGTAAGTAAGTAAATATTGACAAAGAACGATTATTATCAGGAGGGGATTTTGTGGAGATTTCAGTAGTTTGATAGTTGAATCCATGAATTAATTGAAGCTATAACACCGTGGAGAACCTGGATGCACTGGATCACAGATTCGTCCTAGTATGGCACTGTTCAGCAGTGCCGCGTCCACGTCGTCACACACTGGGCTCGGCTCCAGGACCTATCGATCTACGCGCGCAGACTTTAGGCTACAGAGCTAGCGTGCATCCAACGGTGTTAATGTCTAACTTCAATCAATGTGTTCAAACAAATAATATACTGATGATTAAGAAAGTTTTCTAAAAACAATTTATCTTCTACTTTAAGACTTCTGTTGTATTGATCAAGTTGTTAATAGGGTCAATAAAAATGTTACAGAAAAACTCTTCCATACTAAACCCTTATTTATTTAAGCGACACGTTTTTACTATCATTTCAATATTTATAATACTCGTTAAATAGTATAATGATGAACTGTCATTGTAGCTTAATACTCATCAGAATCCAGTAATATAACTTCTTTAGTTTCTCAAAGCAAAAGAAGAATTTCATTGTTGAACCTTAAATTCAATATGACGAAACTCCCTTATGAAAATCCCTATGAACTCCAAATTGATTATGGATATTGTTTGTTTTCAATAGCATTAGCCCTGGAACACAATCCTAGTTGACACATATAACACATTAGTACAGTGTGAGATATACGGATTAACTAGGTTTAAAATAGTCAAATCAAAGTAGTGTTTTAACATCGTTATTGAAATCTATTTGAAAGGAATCCAGTGAATGATTTGAAACCCTACTGTTTTTGGTTCTTATTGTCATCAAATGGAATATTTACAAGGTTTTGTATCAGAGAGTAATGGTGTTGTCAGAGGTTAAAAGGAGAAGAACTAATAGGCAACCTAACTCCACATTATTTATAGGTATGTATGTACACAATAAAGGGCTAAGACTGACAATATATTACACGTAGTCTGTAAGTACTGAAGAAGTATTAATGGTGAGACTATAATTTATGGACAACATTTAAGCGATGTTAGAGGGACCTTGAGAGTATCCACCTAGTGACTACAGCTAAATGAAGGTTATAAACCAGTATGAGGAATTAGAATTATGATTTCCATTTGATGTTTCCTCACGAACTGACATTATTTAAAATGACAAGACGTTATTTAGCCAAATGGATAAAGAATTTCTCGTTGAAATCCAAGACCTATTATCGTAAATCTTATTGGTTCGTCCATAAATTATAATTTCGCTGTATTAGTAGTAAGTAAACAGTTTATAACTGCATAACAATTACTTACATTATTAAGTTGTTCATGGTTCATCAACTTTAAAGATAGTTTGAGTCAAATTTACAAGTTCGGTTATCATTTCCTATGCTTTGGTTTCAGGCATTTTAACAGCATTACTAGCATTTACAGAACATTGTTAGTGAACATTCTAATTGAGGGTTAGGGTACTGATTACGATTTCCAGTTTGGAAACTCTCTGGAAATCGCTGCAAACCAGAACGAACAGTGAAAAGCAAGGAAGGCAAGGTAATCACCAACATTGAAGAGCAACAAAACAGGTGGGTAGAACACTTAAAAGAACTGTTGAATCAACCAGCTCCACTGAACCCACCCAACATCGAAGCAGCACCCACGGACCTCCCAATCGATGTTGGCTCACCAACAATTGAAGAAATCAGCATGGCCATCAGACAAATCAAGAGTGGCAAAGCAGCAGGACCGGACAACATCCCAGTAGAGGCACTAAAAGCAGACGTAGCGGCAACTGCAAGGATACTCCACATTCTCTTCAATATGATTTGGGATGAGGAACAAGTACCAACAGACTGGAAAGAAGGACTTCTGATCAAAATACCGAAGAAAGGCGATCTCAGCAAGCGTGATAACTACAGGAGCATCACCCCTCACTCAATACCGGGAAAAGTCTTCAACAGGGTATTGTTAAACAGGATAACGGACTCCGTAGACGCCCAACGTCGAAACCAACAGGCAGGATTCCGTAAGGATAGATCGTGTACAGACCAAATCGCACCTCCATGGATCATTGTGGAACAATCAATTGAATGGAATTCATCACTCTACATCAAATTCATTGACTACGAGAAAGCATTTGATAGCGTGGACAGAACAACACTATGGAAGCTACTTCGATACTACGGCGTGCATTTGAAAATAGTCAATATCATACGGAATTCCTATGATGGATTAAACTGCGAAATAGTGCATGGAGGACAGTTGGCAAAGTCGTTCGAAGTGAAAACCGGTGTGAGGCAAGGTTGCTTACTCTCACCCTTTCTCTTTCTCCTGGTGATCGACTGGATCATAAAGACGTCAACGTCTGAAGGGAAGCGTGGGATACAATGGACATCTAAGATGCAGTTGGATGACCTAGACTTCGCAGACGATCTGGCCCTTCTATCTCAAACGCAACAACAGATGCAGGAGAAGACTAACAGTGTAGCAGCAGCCTCAGCAGCAATAGGTCTCAATATACACAAAGGGAAAAGCAGGATTCTCCGATACAACACAGCATGCACCAATCCAATCACAATTGACGGAGAAGATTTGGAAGACGTAAAAACCTTTACATATCTGGGCAGCATCAGTGATCAACAGGGTGGATCTGATGCAGATGTGAAGGCGCGGATCGGCAAAGCAAGAGCAGCATATTTACAACTGAGGAACATCTGGAACTCAAAGCAACTGTCAACCAACACCAAGGTCAGGATTTTCAATACAAATGTCAAGACAGTTCTACTGTATGGGGCAGAAACCTGGAGAACTATGAAAGCCATCATCCAGAAAATACAGGTGTTTATTAACAGTTGTCTACGCAAAATACTTCAGATCCATTTGCCGGACACTATTAGCAACAACGTACTGTGGGAGAGAACAAACCAGATCCCAGTGGAGGAAGAAATCAGGAAGAAGTGCTGGAAGTGGATAGGACACACATTGAGGAAAGCACCCAACTGTGTC